AGCAGGATGTATCGGATCTCATTTTAATAAGTAACTTCCTTCCTGGTCATTCATTGATTTAAACAAAGTGGGCTCAATAATATCATTTGACCTCATTGGAAAAGCAAATTGATACATACACAAACTCAGTTTTCCAAGTCAAGCTTATTTTTATACAACAAATTATCTTGCTGAGGAATTTTCACTGCCTTTCAAAGAAGTTACAATTTAAAATCTTTTGAAAGTGGAAGGTACAAAACAAAAAAAATTTTTTTCTTCTTTTAATTCATTTTCTTGGTAAACAGAACAAACACCCAGTGACTTTCACTCGAGCACATTTTGCCACACCCATTATGGAAGACTGAACTAAATAATGCAAGATGTTTGAACATTAGCCTTTGAGAATACACACAAAAAAGAAAATCCAGACAGATCTGTCAGAAAACGATGGCCAATTGGGACATATTGTTTGCAGATGTTTCAGTTGTACAATGATTTGTAGGTCCCTGTTCCATAGAAATCAGACTTAATTATTTTATTGGAATATTTTGTGTACTGGCAAGAAGAGAAACATTTTGTAAAAAAAAAAACAACCTTTTTTTATTTACATTTTGTGAATTTCAATCAACTTCAACTTGACTGTTTCAGCTGAAAAGTTTGGACACAGTTGATCTAAACAATGTTTGATTCTTCATGTTTTGTAGCTGCTGGTGGAAAACAAGCTTTTCCAATGAATTATAAGCCTGGCGGGCCACAAGACTTTACTTGTGCCCACCAGGCTTAGTATTTATATTTGCCTTTGAGACATTTTTAGGAGGTGTTGGGTATTGTTGACAATGTCTTCCAATAATGCATAATTGCCTAGCGATATCTTCAAATTTGCTGTGAACATCAAACTGCCCTTAGACCACCAGGCTTAGCAGGTTCTCTGGGGAAAAACTCTGGCCTAAAGATTTGTTTTCATCTCGACAGGATGAAGAAGTGAACTTCTGGTGAACATAATCATGGCTGTCCAGACTGGCATCCAGGTAAGTTTGTTTCCGTCAAAAGTTAAGCTGGAGGACCACAAACTGTCACATTAGTAAGGGGAAAAATATACATTTATTCAAAAACTATCTTGGTGTTTCAGTTCAGATCTTTGCAGTTATCCAGACAAATTAAGCAGCTGCTTTGAACCCACCTGTGTCCCAACATGCCATGCTGCTGCTGCTGTTATGCATGTCTGGCGTTCCTAAGCTCCCAGCCGTTAGTTGTTTCCCCCCTCTACATCTTGTAGGGAGTGGGCGGAATGCTCCTCACTTTTTCCCTTTCCCCTCCCAGCGATGAATCGCAAGTCGTTCCCAAACCCAGAACAACAAGCGGATCAAGTTACAGCCTTGTCCCAGTTCGACACCTCCTCGACCGGCGCGCTCCTCTCATCTGCTCTGGAAAAACCAGGACTCTCACATTCCCACCACAGTTGGATTGTGGGAATGTAAAATATGCTTCCCAAGTGCTGATGGCATAACATGTGGCGGGAAGGGCTGCAGCACAACACTGATGTTCTGCAGCTTTAAAGGCAGCACATGGATCCTAAAGCTCATGTTACAGTCTGTGGACGAAATGGCAGCTTTGATTTTACTAATCGATGTTTTTTTTTTTTGAATGTTATTCTGGGTCTGGAAGGTGAGCTGTGAGGATGCAGTGATGCTGCAGCCTCACTGCGCATATAGAGCACAGTCAGATCAGATATCTGCTCAGTCATGCTGAACATGTATGCATTCATGGAAGTAAAACTACAATCTGTAATGGGAAGAACTGCTGCAGAATCCACTGGAAGTTTTAGTTTGGGCTCCGTTTGGTATTTCCAAACATTAAGACCTTTATAATTATACTACGAAAAGGGATTTGTCCCAAAGAAATCCAAAGCTTTACAATAAATGTTGTAATGAGCATTTTAGTACGTGATGTGAAAAGCACTAAAGTAAACAGATCAGGCTTAGTTTAAAGGTCAGTTAGCAGGTCATGGGAAGTGGGAGGAAACCAGCTTGAAAGCTGTGAATTTTCTTCTTTTGAAGCAAATTATTAGAAGATGGAATATTTGTCACGTTGAATAATACTGTGTAACTGATTGTTGTCGACGCTGCTGTTCAGATAATTCATAGACATGCAGGAGGGGGAGGAGCTTATGATGATCTTTTTTAGAAAGTTTTGTTGTACTTAGCTTGAGCCACTTAAGATTAAACCACCTTTAATTAGTGATTAAAGGTGGGGAATGTTTCAGGATCTGGGGCGTTTGTGTTCTGGATTATGAGTCCACATTCCTGAACCTGGTGAGATTAACTCAGACTGGCTCTGTTCCACTGACATTTAGATTCCAATATTAAGCTGTTTTCACTTTCACTGTGAATATCTGCAGTTGTCACAAGTTGGATTTCCATTTTATTTTCTTCTTAGAAATGATGTGACGACACACTCAAACCATAATTTTGGTCTTTGAGATAAGATTTTAATACTTATTTTCTAGATCCAGAATGGGTGTGTTGAAATTTTGAGGGTGCATAAAACAAACGGGTCATTCAATCTTTCTAATTTTTAAAAGTGACTTAAAGATTTTGCTGTCTGTCCTGTAATTTATACCACAGGGAAAGCAGAAAGTTTGCAGATTACTGATCTAAATACCAAAAACTGGCTTCTACTTGAGCTTTGAAAAAGTAGCAAAAGAAGTTTACTTTCTAGGGTGAAAGCATTCTCTGTAATCTTGCGTTGCAACAAGTTCTTTTTAGCGTCATTGTGGAGAACAGACTGAGGTTAAATCATCATATCGACCTCAAGGTTCTGCTCCACTGAGGCCTGAGTCGCTCCCAGCCCAGCAATCTGGAACAGAACAATCTGCTGCGTCGGTGTAGAACGGCCCGTCTTTTCCTCTGCCCAGAAGGTTTCCTGTTTTTCGGCCTGGGCGACGCCATGAATTCACCGCCTTGTTCAGCAGCACAACAAACCATTGAGCTGCGTGTCTCAGCAACGCCCGATCACATGCGAACGACACCAAGATTAAAGGCCGTATCCGATGCAGATGTCAACAAGCTGCATGGCAGGAAGAGGAGGGAGGAGGGTTAAGGGGGGGTCCATCAGCAGCTGGTTACGTAACGTGTGGAGATGTCGGAGTGGACATCTGCAGCTGATTCTTGGGTTTACCCCTTCGGATTCCCTGGAAACTGGAAAATCAGCCAGCGCTTGGGAATGTGGAGGTCCCCTGCTTCTCAGTCTGAGTTTTACAACTGTGTATTGGGGCCATTGTAGATGAAGGGAAGAGAGTACATTTCCATGAAAAAGTCATATTTTTCTTTTAGGGAAAAAAAACAAGAAAAATTGATCTCCAGAGGTCAAAAAAATCATTAGAAAAAGACTTGAGTTTTAAGATTCTGAATTTGTTTTCTTCTAGAAAATTTTAAGATGAATCTCAATTTCTAGAGAAACCATGGAAATCTGAAACTCAGAAAATTTCCAAAAGTTGAAAAATTTGACTTTAGAAATTCTGAGATTCAGCTCAGACATTTTCTGGGGAAGGGGGAAAGAGTAAGTTTTAAGAGTGTACTTTTTTTATTTTTATTTTACATTTCATTCAAAGCCATAAAACTGAACTCCTGACTGCTTCCACATACACTTGGTTTCCCTGTGTGACAGACTTTGAGTGACCAGATGAGGATGCTGACTGGGTGAGCCAGTGTGTGACAGCAGGGATGGATATGATCAGACGTTGGCTTCAGGCACAAAGAAGCACATGTTAAGAAAGTACAGCAGTATTGGATACATATTGTTGTTTTTTCAGATGAGACCCAAAATAACATGAGGCTGTGCAGAAAACTTATTGATTATAGATGGATAGAGATGAATTTGTGGTTTTAAGATGGCGTAATCACAGTTACTAGGTCAGGTTTGTGCACAGATTCTTCAGTAGCACTTACATGCAGCACTGCGAAGGCTTCACTCTGCATGGACGGTTCACTAAATATGATCCATTAGCGTTTCCTCACACAAGGAGGAGAAAACTGAATATCATTTGTGCTTTCGTCTTACAGAAAGTAACATTTTATTGCAATATTCTGTGGTACTGTTCCAATAATTGTTCCATTTTCAGGTAACTGTATGGCTGTGACTTGACACAGCAATCATCACCCCACAGATAATAATGAAAGGTTATTCAAGAGAGACGTTTAAGTCGCATAGTAAAGGGACTTGTATCACAAAACTGCACACAGTAACTGCTTTTAATCATATTTTCAAATTTGATATTCTTGAGCCAACCGTGGTGAATTTGTCATCCCATCAAAATTCTTATAAAATAAAATGTAGTATCATGAGGATCAGTGCAAGAAATGCTTACTTGTAATGCTGCAATAGGAACCTGAATACCATAAAATAACTGAAAATTATAACTCTAAGAATGTTGGGTTAAAAATGGCTAATTACTAATGGGAAGAAAGAGGCATTTAAGTAACATTTGGCTGCTTTTATCTACTGTCTGTCACATTTGTGTTCCCACAGACAAATTTGGACCACAAGAAAAGGTTGACTTTAACTTTATTATATCTCTTGGAGACCAACGTTTTAAGTTCTTGTATTTGCTGGTTGTGCAACAAGGCTAACGACCTCCAGTAGGAAGTTATTGGCCAACAAAACCAGTTAGAAAAGTTACCATCTGAAAAGAAAAGTAATTAAAAAACATACCTGAAATTATTTAATTTTTGTCATTTTATTAAATGACAAAAGCCAAGTTCCTGTATTTGCCAGCTTCACTGTAAGACTAACAAATGCAAACTGAATTTCTACCAAAATCAGTTTTGTCTGTAAAATGACCTCTTTTAGATTTAAGGTGTTTTTCCTTTTTTTTCTTCTTTTTTTTCTCCCAGCTCAGTAGATTTTTGTTTCTGTTCTCCAGGTTTGGTTCAGCGAGAAGTTCAACGCCCCCCTGCTGAGTCCCAGGTGCCCCCGCAGCCCGTTGGCTCAGCGGCACGGCCCCGGCCTCGCCAACGTTTTCCAGTATGACCAGTGGCTGGCAGTCCGCCACGAGGCCACGCTGGTCCCCATGCAGGAGGACCTGGCCATCTGGCTCAGCGGCATGTTGGGTGAGTTTAACTTCCACACCAGCTTCTCCTCCCACTCCTAACGGTTAATTTTAGTTTTTTTTAGTTGTTTTTACACAACAAGGTTGATCCAATCAGTTTTCCATCTGCCTTCAACAGTAGCTGTGTGTGTGTGTCGGTGTGTGTGTTGTCTGCCAACAGTTCCCCCCCAGAGGCCAGGAACGTACCGATAAACTATTGACGTGGCTCTCGTGTGTAACCAGTTTTCGATGCTGTCATTTCCAAGCGTCTCTTGGGGAAACCGCAGAGCGGAACAGAATCCTTCAGTTTCTCCGCTGCTGCCATTATACGGATTCCCATTGTCCATGTGGCACAATGGAGCAGTGAGGAACCCGAAACTGACTCTATTGTTGCTGAATCAGGGTTTCACAGCCCAATGTTTGGCTGCTAACACGAGGAATGTGGGCAAGTACTTGGCGCTCAACGTGAGTTGGTGCTCCTGTGGACAGGATGGCCTGCATTTCAGGTTTTGGATGTTTTAAATGGCGAACGACAGGTGGGATCAATGGGATAAAGTTTCTAGCCCTGAGGCTGAGCCCTTTGTCAGGTGGAAGTCGACTTTTGCAGAGCAATCTTTGTCACTTGGTGCGGCCGTATTATTCCCTTGGCTTTGATTTACAGCTGAGGTAGCGTGGGAGCGCTTGAGCCCCTTGGAGGAGGAAACGGCGGCGTTTAATGTGGCCTCCTGTTCAGGAACATGCAGAGAAAGGAAGATATTCCTCTGGTTTGTACCTTTTAACCTTTCTGTGGTTTTTCCAGGGGAGGAGGTGAAAGCCGAACTGTTTATGGCGGAGCTGGATAACGGCGTGAAGCTCTGCCAGCTGATCGGCGCCCTGCAGACCAAGGTCGCCCAGACCTGCCCCACGGCGCTACCCAAGGTACAAAGTGGAAACACGGTGAATGTTTACTGGAACGTTCCCCGTCCACATTAGTTTGACGTTCCGCTTCCCGTCCAGCTCTTCCCCACCAGAAAGGTGGCCTGTAAGCGCGACGCCTCCCCGGGTTCCTTCTTTGCCCGGGACAACACGGCCAACTTCCTGGCCTGGTGCCGGCACGTCGGCATGGACGACACCTACCTGTTTGAGTCGGAGGGCCTCGGTAAACACCAGGACACGTCCAACCAGAAAATATTTCTGCATTCAGGTCAAAAGGTTTTTTAGAGAACATTGGTGAACAAAACGACCAAGGCGGTATTTATTGGCTGCTACGTTTAAGTTGCGGCTCGTTATTGTCGGATGGAGAAAAATGGGATCAAACGGAGCAGATCTGAGCTGCAGTGTCTGGTTAGCTGGACCTCCTAGTGGCTTAAGGGGATGTGATGGAGGGAGCAATCGCTCTAGAGTTTGATCAACTCTAATGAAGTGATCCCACATGGGTTACAGTCGACTGCCAGTCTGGTAGGAAACCCAAACAACTGCTGCTGTAATTATTTTTTTCTGATCGGAGTTTCCCACCAGAGAACCTGCTAAAGCCATTGCTTGAGTCATTCGGACAGCCAGCCAACAACCTGCCGTGGTTTTGAGTTCAATGTTTTATCAATGTGTTCCAATAACACCCAGTCATATTTTCAAATTTCCTGTCAGCTTTAAAATCTTAAAAATGGCAAACATAAAGAAATATAATTGAAATAAACTTTTTGTACTTCAGTAGTTTCACCCCAAGTAAAGTGTGTGTATAGTTTCCATTGCAAATGTGCACAAACTTTGTCAATACTCTACGAATGTTGAAAAAAACCCACAACTTTGCAGTTTCTGTGTTTCCAGTAATTACAGCAATTAAAATCGCACGTGAATAAGTTTGTTCACACAATAAGTTGTTGAACACGCCACACAATCATCCTCCAACTACTTCCTGTCTTCTTCTTCTTTGTGGTTGGTGCCTCTGGTGACATCTGGCATGTGACTTGTACGATGTGGGGAAAAGTATTTCCACTGCAGTTTTGCAAAATAAACAAATTATGTATTTATATGGTCAATGGAAATGCAGTCACTGGCGTGTATCTAAAAATAAAAAAAAAGATTCTTAGCCTGGCAGGTGGGGGAGTAAAGCCTGATGGCCAGGCTTATAAAACACTTTGTAAATCAGATCAGGGCTTTCTCATTTAAAAAAAAAAAGATTTTTAACATGTTTTTTGAATGTTGCCTCTTGCTAACGGTCGTTTTCTCTGCTCCAGTGCTGCACAAGGAGCCTCGCCAGGTGTGTCTGTGTCTGCTGGAGGTCGGCCGGATCGTCTCCAGGTGTGTTGGCCCCTGTGAACGTAGAGCCTTTGAGTCTATTTCTCTTTGGCGCCACCTAGTCCTGATTCGTTTCCGCCTGTCCCAGATACGGGGTGGAGCCGCCCGTGTTGGTGAAGCTGGAGAAGGAGATCGAGATGGAGGAGACGTTGCTGATGACGGAAGAACCTCCCGCCGCGGTGAAAACCTTCAGCGTGTGCTGCCAGCACGGGGCGCTCTACCAGCCAGAGGTGAGATCAGGGCCCATTTCCCCGCGGACGACGGCAGCTGACCCACGTGACGCCCCGCCGGCGCGCTGACTCAGTCACACGTGCAGAGCCACGTCGTCACACACATGCGGGCGAAGACATTGAAACGCTTTTGAAGGGGGGGCTGCGGAGCCGGTTGGATGGGTTTACGTATTTAGTCTGGTTCAGCGGATCAGAGCGCAGCAGCAACAGTCGGGTTGATAGTTTTTTGTTTTTTTTTTTGGTTGTTGGTTTTTTTTTCCTTCCCAGAGGAGACAGCCGCTCTAAAAATAACCAGTCAGTGAAGCGAGAAATGGCTTGGATTAAAAATGGGCACAGTTGGATTAGTCATATTCCCAAATGCATCTGGTTTTAACTGAGCTGTTCATACTTTGTTTTTTTTTTCTCCCAAAGGTATTTATTTCCTATTAACTTTTGCACATTTTGTCAGGTTTCAATCTCAAAGTTTAATGGATTTTCTGGGCTAAAGACCCAAGAAATGCCCCAAGCTGATTGGTCAATGAAGGAGAGGATTATTCATAGGAGCTGAGTGGCCTGATGGATCTGGAGGAGCTGCAGAGATTCACATTATGCCCCTGCAAAACATCTATACAGAAATGTTTAAAAAAGAATTATATCCAAGTCATTTTTGTTGGCAGTTATCTAGAAGCGAGAGATTCAGCAAACCTGTGAAAAAAGATGCAGTCAAATGCAATTTTTTATTTTTATTTTTTTTTAAGCTAACAGTGACATTTGACAAGATGGTGGCATTATGGGACATAATGAGGAGAATAGTGGACATTATACACATTAACTGTTTTCATGTTCTGCTAATATTGGAAAACCAATAATTTCACAATTGAGGTGTTTCCATGAAATTAAAATCACAGATAAAAATCACACAAAAATAAGTTTGTTCATGATGCTTCAGTTAAAAAGTGTGCTGCACTGTGATCCTCCCACCACTTCCTGTCTCCAGCAGCAACATGTGACTTGTGAAAAAAGTGTTTCCATGGCATTTTTATGAAATAAACCAGTTTGAGGTGTTTTTGTTGGGGTTTTTTAACGCACCCAAGTATCATATAGGACAATCCTCTGGTTAGCGGAAGCACAGCTATCGTCCTAAGATTTGTTCCAACACTGACCATTGAGCATCCATCCATGTCGACTCAAGGGTTCAAGGATCAGTGGTTCAAATACAGACAAACTGTTTCTGTGAACATCACAGATAATAAATGTATCTTCTGGTTTGCTCCTGTAGGAGCTCGGCATGGATGACCCACCCTGTAACTGCTCCAACAAGGTGTCCATAGAGTACCTGTCAGAGGGACGATACAGACTGGGCGATAAGACCATCTTCATCAGAGTGAGTACCTCCGTCTGTCCGTCCTGGTCAGTTTGAACTCGGCTCTGAATGTTTGTTGTTGTGTCAGAGATTAGCCGCTAGCTGTTGCGTCCTGGCAGCTGCGGCGGTGCCAAGCGCATCGCCGCAGGCCGTGGCTGGACGCATGGAAGCTCATTAGCCAATAGCAGCGGATGGTGATTACATCACAACTCTGCTGCTATTCAGGGCACAATGCCTCAGTGCAGACGGGTTAATCTGCATCCGCTATTTCGGGAGCTGAAGTGAAGCAGTGGCTGCTTGCCTGACAGCTCGTGGTGTGGACTTTGGGATGATGTGAGAATGTTTGTTCCCTCAGATGCTGCATGGCAAACACGTGATGGTGCGAGTCGGCGGGGGCTGGGACACCCTGAGGGGCTTCCTGACAAAATACGACCCTCTGCGGGTGCTGCAGTTCACCACACTGGAGCAGAAGATCCTGGCCTTCCAGAAGGGCCCACCTGGTTTGGGCGGTCACCGTGCCAACAACGCTCCACCTCATATGGACCCTCTTGCTGCAGTTAATGGCCTCATCTCCTCCTCTGCCTCCTCCTCTTCCTCCTGCTCTTCATCAGCATCTGCAACCCCTGCAGGACAGAGCTGCCGCTCATACATCCCCTCCCCTGCCTGCACCCCCATCTTGGCGAGGAAAGGTTCTGCTGCTGTACCGAAGAAGGACCTCCAGACGATGCCGTCCTCCCCCAGGAAGCCCACCCAACTCCCCCTACCCGTCCCCACCAAAGGCTTCTCTTCTCTGCCCTCCTCACCTGTGAGTAGCTCCTGCAGGTGGACCCCCAGCCCGGGCAGTCAGCGCAGAGCCCTGACTCCATCAGCTACCCCGGTGGAGCCAAGCTCCACCTCAAAGCTGAAGCCCTGTCCACATGGTCCTACCACCCAGCCCAGGAGCCCGGTCTGCCCTGAGCCTTCCTCCAAATGCCCCAAGCCTTCCAGCCCATGTACCTCCCCCACTGCTGGGCACATGTCCCGTCCCACCACCGTATCTGCCCCCAAAGACGTTAAGCCTTCCTCGGGCGCCAGCCAGCGCTCCCGCCTTGCACAGAGGCGCCCCGGCTCGCCGGCGTCACGCCTCCGTCTGGAAACAATCAGGAAGACGAGGGTGGCCACAAGGACTGTGCCGGTACAAAAAGCAGAACCCCGGCAATCCCCGACCCCCTGCTCCCAGGCTGGCTCCTCCCGTGCCCAGACCCCCTGCTCCCAGGCTATGTCCCCAGTAACAGTAACTTCTATCTGCTCCACGTCAAAGGTTAAAATCAAGGTGGCCTCTGCCATCCCTGGGCCGGTCCCAAGTATTGCCTCTTCTTCCTCTAAAGGTAATCAGAAGGCCCCCCCCATAGCACAGAGGACTGTGAGAAAACCAGCAGCTGTAGGGAACCTCAGCACAAAGACGACGCTGAAACCTGAAGCAGCGACAACTCAAACCACAACCTCTCAGAGAAACCCAGTGAAGGCTGCAGAGAAGATCCCACAGAGTAAGGCCAGGAGTGACAAGCCGTACTTTGAAATGACCACTAGGAGGAAGCAGAGAGCCTGAAACAGCGCCCTCTTAAGGCTTCATGAAACCAGCAGCACTTGTTGGTGCTCAGACTTTATACTTTATTGATCTCATCTCTAATCCTTGTTTCTGATCATGTCTGTAATTTTGTTTTTGATTATTTTTTTTAATGTTTATTTAATAGACTTTAATTTTTTTTTATCTAACTGTGGTCTCTTTCTAGAGATCAGATTTAAATTTATTAAACTCAAACTTGCACAATGTTTACATTTAATTCTGATATTTAAATCATAAATGGGTTTCAGAGGGAAATTATGGTCAACGTACAACATGAAACTTTTTAGACCCAACTGATGAATATCGTTGGTTTAAGATAAGTTTTACATAAACTTCTGTTACCAAAGTTGAAAAAAAAATGACTAGAAATCATGCTTGAGTTTTATTTTTATTTTTCTGAGATTCCAGTTTCAGCTTGTGAAAACGACTGAATTTCACCTAAAAAATAATCAACGCTTCAGTTTCTCCACATTTTGTCTCAACCTAATTGCAAAATTAACCATTTTTCATATTCGGCTTCAACTTTAACTCGTCTGTTTGCACAGTTGCTGTTACAGAAAAACCTTCCCACAGAGTGAAGCTGCCACCACCGTGCTTCACAATGTGGGAAGGTATTAGCCAGATGGTGCCTTTTTTTAAAATTTTACTTATTTATTTTTTCCCCCTTCACTCTGGATCAAGGCTGCAACATAAAGTGGAAAGTTGGCTGTAAATACTTTGGTTGTTCTGAACACCAGATCCTGTTAATGGAGGCTGTTATTCCAGATTCCTTCCTGTTTTGTGCCTTTAAATAGAAATCGTTCATTTCTTCTCTTTCCCGTGACTCTGAGTGGCTGCAGAATGTATGAGGCCACAAGGTGGTGCATCGACACACTGTGGACACACTGTGTTGACTTGCTTTTTGATAGAAACTACTGATCTGATGCCTTTCCTTTTTTCTCCTGAATCAAAAACACTGAGCAAACAGCATTTAGAGCAGAATCTACTTTGTAGAACTTTTTTTTTTATTTTATTTTTTTGTCAAAATTTTTTTTGTGGTCTAAAATTCTAGTTTTTTATGGTGTTTTATCAAAATTTATTTCTTGGCACTTTATAGAAACCTTATGTTTGTTTTTGTCTGATTAATAAATGGATGTTGGTTTAAAATCATTTACTTTTTCTTTTTTTTTTCTGCGCTTCTTAAACTGAGAACTTTGACATTACGAGATTTAGAATAACGATAAACTCAGCTTTCTGCAGGTTGGTCATAGAAAGCTGGAGTTTGACCTTTACAGGTGATCATTTTTCTGACCTCTTGTGGTCATAACAGAAAACTGCAAGTAAAACTAAAAAACATCAAATTCCGATTTTTCTTTTAAGTAATGCGACCTGCGTCATGACAGACAGTCTGAACAACACAGGTCGGATTCTTTTCAAATGCGTCCAAACATCCCAGACACATTCATCCGAACTGAATGTCACTGATACTCAACAAATCTCACCCTGATACATGCATGCAGGACACTTTCAAGTCTTTTGCCCTTTCAGACTGCAGAACACATACAGGTCGAACATGCGTGGCAGTGTAAAATGGCCCTGGCAAAAATAAATTTGACAAAATAAATACCGGAATTGGGTCATTTCAGTCTGCAGTGTGAACGCAGCCTTAAAAGAAAAAGCCTAAAATCCTGATTTCACATGACACTTTTGGCAACACGGTTAAGATCTTGTATTGTATGTTTTGACTTTCTAAGTGCTTTATGAGGTGCTGATTAGGGAGGGTGAGGGATGGGTGGGAATTTGATTTATGTTAATCTATGCATGTCAGTATGAAACATTTTATGAAAAAAAAAATTGAAGGGAAAATACCCATTTATTAAAAGTTGAAGGCACATTCATGAGTGAGGGAGCAGAACACAAAGTGAGCTACTCTAAACAGTCAACTGGTGTCGACCCGCAGTTTTATTAGGCAGTGAAATCATTACGGCAGAATCTGTCCAAAAAACATTAAAGGCATTTTATTAAATATCAATACATTAAAATTCAAATAGATTAATCTTATAAACTTGTTGGCTTGTCTGAACAAAAAACCCCAAAACATATTGAATTGCTTCAGATATCTAACCATGTGTCATCAGTCTAAAAGCTGCGTCAAAACCCCTGAGAAACGCCATGGCAACCAGGTGCTGTGATGAACTGTTGTCACGTTCGCACATCTCAGATCAAATTAATCTATTATCAGACAAACATAATGACCTAATGAAAAACATTTTCCCGTCAGATTTGTTGAATAAGAACTTAATTAGAACCTGCTTAGCAACATGAAGTAGGACAGAAACGACCAGGACCAGACAGCATCCTTCAGTCTGGAGAGAGAGGAGGAAAGCATTCCTGAGAGTGACTGACCAATCAAAGTTACTCCAAAAGGGTAAAATTTTTTTTTATTTAATTCAATGTTTTGATAGGGCCTAGTCAAAGTCTTGATGAATGAGATGCTGTGGGCCAGCTGGGCTCGGATCATTTTTTTCCACAAATAATTGAAGTCATGATTTGAGAAGCGCTTCTTGTTGATTAAGGTTATCTTTGTCTGATAGTTTCAAACACTGCATCACAGCAATAAACAATATAACATCATATAATTTAATATAATCCAGTGTGCAAAATATGAAGAGGTCTGCAGAGGGAGGACTTGTTTATATGTTTAGTCTTCAGTGGAGGAAGCATTTGAAAGCCTCCAAAGTTCTGGATCCTGATCGAACAGGAAGTGAAGGAAAGAAAGATGGCGGCTGCCACGTTTCATTGTGCAGGTAAAAGCCCATGTCGCTTTAAAAAAGAGCCGAGTAAAAAAGGTAGTGGTTGAAGGACTTTTGGTCTTTCTGCAGATCTTCAGTCGCGAGTCATCAGTGTTAAAAGTAACCGAATGGTTTCCTGTCCGTCTGCGCCGCGACTCTGCAAAAGTACCAGCAGGTGGCAGCATGGCAGTGACGGCCGTCACAGCAGCAGCGGCGTGTGCTCGCCCGCCGGCTCCCTCCGTCCGATGAGCTGCCGCGCCCTCTCCACCAGGCGCCCGGGCAGCGAGGGCACGTGGTGGCTCGGGTCCAGCACGTTGGTCTTGCGGCGCTCGCGCTCCTGCAGCCACATGAGGTACGGGCTGGGCGGGAAGAAGGGCCGCGAGCGCTCACGGTACAGCTGCAGCACCACGCCGCACACGCCCAGCATCACCCACACCGTGATCATGGCGTAGTCTGCAGGACAACACGGCGAGGCGATTAAAACCTGCTCACGGCTCGCGCTGAAACAAGTTCATGAAAACTCACCGATGGTTTGGAACGGCGCGTCCGTGAAGGCGGCGCTGAAGTTGTTGTTGAGGAAGCGCTTCAGGACGTTGAGTGTGATGTAGGAGAGGCTGGTGTAGACGTAGGCGTTGACGGCCAGCACCACGGCGTACGCCCCGACGATGCTGCACGTCACAATGTTTCCCTAGAGCAAACGGGAAGCCAAGAGAATCTCAAACATGGCGGCCGTTTTTACATCTAATCAGGTTAGTGAACCACTCTGTTCCTCTATGCGTCTTTATCTGGGTGGAAGAAGAACGAGCTACTATTTGCACTCATGTTGCCTTCACTGATAAATAGAAACTAAAATAATCTAACTTAGATTCAAAAATAGACTTCATAAACAGTTTTTCCAAATGAAGATGGATTGTTTGCCCACCAGGGGGCACTAGTGGTACATACTCATGATCTGATCTCTTTTTCCGATGCTGCCAACAGGTGGCAGCATGGTACCAATTTGTTTAGCAGTTTACGGCTTAAAAACAAACCAAACACTTTGATCTCCTAAACTAATCAATGAAGTTATTAGTAAAGGGACAAAGACCCCTTCACTCTGATACTCCTAAACAAAATCTAGCATAATTTGCACATTCAGCCATCAGCCACAGGAAAACTGAATGAAAGGTTGGTGTTTTGCCGCAGTGTCTGTGGTAAGTTTACCAGACAAACGTCCTGTCACAGAACCAGTGTGTGAAATGTGTTACCTCTCTGGGCCACCGCACGAAGAAAAGCGGAAGTGTGACCATGATGCAGCAGAACGTCACCCAGAAAACCACGTCCGAGTTCCGGAACACTTCGAGGTCTCCTGTGTTCAAACGGCAACGCACAGATTTAAAAATCAAAACAAGACGAGAGAGAAAAAAAACAAACGGACAACAAGGAACTGCTGCGCTGTGACAGAGAGAGAGGCGGCTTGTACCCAGCGGGGTGAAGAGGACGACGGCAGCGACGAGGAAGCCCAGCATCAGGCCGACCACGACCACGCAGGCCATGACGGAGCCGAAGCGCCACCAGCTCATCACCAGGACGACGCCGCCCACCACGCCTACCACAGCGGACACGGTCAGCCGGACTGGGAGTGGAGAAAAAGTCAACAAATAGAGAAATAAATCCCCACTTGTTGACACTGTGTGGATGGTTGGGAGGTTGGGAGGTGGGTCTTACTGTCATAGTCCAGCTGCGTGGTCCTTGTGATGAGAACGAAGAAGAAAAACGCAGCGAAGCTGAATCCCATGCAGAACAGCTCTGAACCACAGGAAGAGAGAAGGACAAATTAACCCATACAGGAAGTAGATTGGCTCACATTAGCTCCATTAGCTTCCTAACGTGTTACCTTCATCATATTCCATGTCTTTCTATTGTTTTTCATAGCTTGGAAGTTATTTTCCCGAAGCATACACGAATGCCGATGGAGTATGTGAAACCACAGGTGTTGTTTGTGAGCATAATGTTTCTCAGTTTTAAAAAATGGCTCATTTTATAGCAATTTTTTATAAGCATGAGCCCTCTGTTGATACAAAATCAACATTTGTGTTCCCTCATAATAATTACACTTCCTTTCCAGTCGCTGTGTAACATGAAGTGGATGTGATGGAAAGGTTTGAAGTGTCTTGAGAATTAACTGCTAAACCAAAAAACAAAATATGGACTGAGAAGTAAGACTTCTAGCTGTTTCCATTCACTATTGTGTTTTGCACAACTCCTTCAGTGCTTGCTAAGATAAGCAGGGTTCGTACACATTCAAGTACTTTTCAAGCACTTACAATCACTTCCACATTAAATCATTTATTATTGTTATTAACAATGTGTTGTGGCAGAATTCGACATTCTACAGTAAACTAAAATATAATTTTATGTCACATAAAATCACTTTGGTAATTCTAACTAACCTTAAAATAAACTTACTGCAATCTAACTTAAATGTGAGAAAAAAAATTTGCATGTCTTTAATCTGGTGAACGTATAGATTTGGTTTCAGCTGTACATGTTTTCCAAATGTAGGGTTTTAATCAAACGTCTGATTGCAATTTATTACAAAACTGCTCAGTTTGAGTATCAAGCACTTTCAAGGACTTTCTGCAGAAATGAAGAACTTTCCAAACCTTAAAGAGGCCGAATTGAAATGCAAGCATTTTGAAGGATGTCAAGTATCCATACAAACCCTGAATAAGACTTTGCAAACCAGAAGTTTGCAAAGACCGCAAAAATACAGTTGGAATTTGAGATGTAATCAGGTATACTCAGCAGAACGCTCATAAGTCCCTGGTTAAGGTGCCTGTTTGTTAGATCTCAAAATTTAGTTTTATTGAGGGATTCCCATTTTAAGTATCATAAAGCAGGTTCTACATCACCAAAAGATTAGAAAACATCTGTTTGTGTGTCGACTCACCACATTTGAAGAATCGATGGCCGAGGAAGCAGACGAACAAGCCTGCCAAGCCAGCGATGGTGAAGAAGACTTTTGTCGATATTTTTCCTGCAACACATTCACACCTAACTTAAAATAAATTCTTCAAAACATTGATTTTAAACCAGCAGCTACGACAAATGCTAACCGAGCGTCTGACAGCCGTCCAGAGTGGAGGTGAAGCTGCAGGCGTAGGTGTGGGCAGGAACGTAGGAGGCGGAGGTGTTCAACACGGGGTCTCTGACGATGACGGAGTAGATGACGCCCTGACCGGGGATGGAGCTGAACGCCATGGCTGTCTTGTCCGTCGACTTCAGCGTCACCACCTTACAGGAGACAAGCTGGTCGTTCGTCGATGCGTCGCTAAATGTGCAGTTTACTCGTCATGTTTTGGTTCTCACCAGTCTGCCGCTCGCCGCCATGCCTCT